AAGAAAAAGGAGAAAGCACCTCCAAAGAAGGTGGACAAAAGTGCGGAGGATAAACTGAAGCCAGAATGTCAAAAACTGGAGCAAAAGGCAGCGAGGGGATCAACTATGGTCATCCGAGTTGCTCAAGGTCGGACGTTTGCCGACATTTTGGGTAAGCTTCGTAAGGAGGATGATCCAGACGTTAGCCACGCAAAGGTCGTAGTTGCAAAGGCTACAAAAAGGGGAGACCTCCTTATTAAAATCAGAGGCGACTTTTATAAAGAGGCCTTCACCGCGGAGGTTTCCATAGCGGTGGAAGGCATGGGTAAGGTATAGTCTGTGGATCGAAGGGTAACGCTGCAGATTCGCGACTTTGATTGCCTTATCCAAGTAGAAGAGGTCCAACAAGTGTTGGGAAATGTCCTGAAGAAGCCAGGAAGCAGGAAGGTGACGATCCTTGGACCAAACCGACGAGAGATGAAGCTCGCGGTTATAGTCACCGACCCAGAGGAAGCGAAAAGGCTGCAAGAAGTGGGACGCATAAAGATTGGCTTTATGTCGTGCCCAATTAGGAAAAAAGTAATGGAGACTAGGTGTCATAGATGCCTAGATTATGGCCACGTAGGGAAAGAATGTAAGGCGGCGGAGAGATCGACTGTGTGCTTCAATTTTGACTTTTTACACTTCTTTAACATTTGTTTCTTCATTGTTGTGCTGTAAATTTCGCTTTGACATTGAAATAGTTTTAAATTTAAACTATTGACGGAAAAGAACCACAGAAAAAGAACAAAGTCGCAATAGCGACAGAGTTGGAGCGCCGCTCTCGAAGGCTAAAGTCTTACGACAGTTCCGAGGATGGGTAAAGGGCTTCAAAAGAAGGGTTACGGGTTTTAGTGGATCGGGGCTGGCAGTAGGTCGCCAGCTTATTAAACAATTTTCATTTTATTTATTTTTTATACCAACCCCACATAAACTTGGAGTGCGGAATCCAAGGTATCTGTAAGCAGATTTCCCAAAATTCCCTAAGCAAAAAAATAAAGAATTAAGCTAAATTTTGGCAAAAATAAGAATGGACACGTGGAAGATGTGTATTCTTCTATTTGCCTAGAGTCAATCAGTAATTTAGCTCATTTCCTCGTTATTAAGCAACTTGCCTAAGCGACCTCCGGCAAATAGAAAATTTGACATGTATTCTATAGCAGAGCATAAGCATCGATTTATAAACAAATTTTGTAAACATAATTAATTTAGTGTTTAGTGTCAACGTTAATTTTGATTTTGTATCATTTGTTGCAACAAGATGTAGATTGGTGACATCGAGAATTGCATTTTAATTTTAATTTAAAACTAGAACACCGATTATTTTAGAAACTGCTAATATTTATGTTACATTTTCCACGATTACTCGTTTTTTAAACATTCTTCCAATTTACTTTCAAATTCAGTTTTATTTACAATATTATTTTTCATATTGAATAGAACTTATTAAATCAACTGTTACTCCAAGCCAGCCTTGTCAACCTAGTGAAAATGTGCAAATCGATGCAAGGCGGGTTCCATCACTTTTTTCCCCCGTAACAAGTATGCACCACAAATCGCAGACTTTACTTTTCCTCTTTCTTCATTTTAATAAAAATTGAGGCCTCGGATCGAGGAACTCGACCGCCGCAGTTGCAAGGGATAATATCAGTCAGGTAGCAGTTTGTGTCACAGAGGCGCTCACTGCTACTTGACTGGTATTATCCTTATCGACCACGCAGCGGTCGAGTTCCTCGATCCGAGGCCTCAATTATCCCAGTATGCAATGTGTGAGAAGTGCTAGAATTAAAGAAGGGTCTGAACAAGGAGAGCGGGAAAATAGGTTGGACATGCCTGCTCCAAGCAGATAGCAAGAAACTAATTTTCATTTTCAATATTATACTATTAAAATTAACGTTGGCACTGAATTAATTATGTTTGAAAAATTTGTTTATAGATCGATGCTTATATACTGCTATAGAATGCGCGTCAAATTTTCTATTTGCCGGAGGCCGTTTAGACAAGTAGCTTAATAACAAGGAAATAAGCTAAATTACTGATTGACTCTAGGCAAATAGAAGACTACACATCTTCCACATGTCCATTCTATTTGGCCAAATGTAGCTTAATTCCTAGGAATTAAGCTATATTTGCCTAATTTCTCTACTTGCCTACAATATATATAATATATATATATATATATTTTCAAGTTATCTGATTTTTTGTAGGTATATGAGTACACTTTTTCTCCCTACAATATTTAAAAAAAATTTATTTATATATATATATTTAATAATATTAATATTTTTTCTTATAATATATACACTACCGTCTGTGAGTATCAGGACGCCCCTTTTTTCATGAGTGGAAAAATGTTTAAAACGTAGAAAATAAGAATGACAAAAATTTTTCGTATTTTTTTCCTGAAAGCTAATGAAATTATAAAAAGACTGACACCTGATCGAAGAATTTTCGTTGACTATTCTGTCAGATACAGAAAAAATACTGGATTTTGCATGCTTTCCGTAATTTTTTAATTTCTCGAAAACTAATTAACTTTTTTTAGCGTTCTTGGTTTTGTTTTAATTTCTATTCAATGTAGAATCTTTTTCTGTATCTGACAGAATAGTCAACGAAAATTCTTCGACCAGGTGTCAGTCTTTTCATAACTTAAATGTTTTTCAATATCTACATACTATTTTAATAAATTTACAAACGAATTCAATTTTTTGCTTCCTTTCAAAGGAAGCCTTATAGTGATGTGTATTATGGTCATCAATACCTAAAATCATACAAAAAGATTTTAAAAATCTCTAATAGGGGCATTCTCCGTCAGATTTTCACTCAAAATTTTTTTTGGATTAAAACAATTTTTTTCGAATTCTATATGAAAAATAAGTAAATACGTGTTTTTTTATTTTTTTATTTGATCAAAATTATAAAAGTTATGATTTTTTTAAATTTAACATCTTCAGAAGCAAAAGATTTTTCTAACACTTTTAACTCCGTTATACCAAAAGATAAAAAATAATGTAATATATGAAAATGACTTGTTTTTTCTTGAATATTTCAAATATGTAATAAAAAATAACTTTAATAAAGCGAAAACATTAAATAAATTGAAATTTCTTCAAAAATGTGACTTTTCTCAAAAGCGAAGTAATTGATTTTCGATTTTTTTCTTCCATTACAACCACTGATAAATGTAGAAATTTTTCCCACTTATGCCAAAGTGGTGTTCTTTAGGGTTCAAATTATATTTAAAATTATGTCAGTAGTTGCACAGAGTTTTATTCGAATTTTACACTTTTTCAAAATTTAACCTTCAAAAACAAAAGAAAACGAATGTTTAGTGGTTAATTTCTTAATTTCCTTCTGTAAAATCTGTGCAACGACTGATATAATTTTAAATATAATTTGATCCCTAAAGAACACCACTTTGGCATAAGTGGGAAAAATTTCTTTATTTATCAGTGGTTCTAATGAAAGAAAAAAATTGAAAATCGATTACTTCGCTTTTGAGAAAAGTCACATGTTAGACGAAATTTCAATTTATTTAATGTTTTCGCTTTATTAAAGTTATTTTTTATTACATATTTGAAATATTCAAGAAAAAACAAGTTATTTTCATATATTACATTATTTTTTATCTTTTGGTATAACGGAGTTAAAAGTGTTTCAAAAATCCTTTGCTTCCGAAGATGTTAAATTTAAAAAAATCATAACTTTTATAATTTTGATCAAATAAAAAAATAAAAAAACACGTAATTACTTATTTTTCATATAGAATTCGAAAAAAATTATTTTAATACAAAAAAAATTTTGAGTGAAAATCTGACGGAGAATGCCCCAATAATAAATTTTTCTAGCAATTTTTTAATTTTTGATTCTTGTCAAAATTATATTCCTGTCATGAAAACAAATTGATTCATGTATGTAAAGTATATATTTGATCAATATTTATAAAACAATCGATATTTTTATTTTTAACAAAAAATTCAAATTTTGTATTTTTTGAAATTTTATTTTAATACCGTAAACTGGGGCTATTAGGAACAGATTTCTACTTTAAAGATTTGTAACTTTTTTTGTATTGAAATATTGCCATAATTTTTTATCTTTTTTTGATCTTGGCGAGCACATTAAAGGATTAAAGAATTGCTTTGATCAAAGCTGGAATTTTAAGCAAAAAAGACGAAAAGACGCATTATTTCAAAATTACAAAATGGGGCTTTTAGGAACAAGGGCGGTAAAAACCATTGGAAAACGTATTTAAAGTTAAAGAAGTTACTGTTTATTGCTCGAAAGTACAAACACAATTTAAAACAAATGTAAAAACGAAACTAAAAGAGCGAATGTGTGTTTTAAACGTTGCTGACATCATCAGTGGCGGTCGACGATGGAGTCACTGGTCGTTTTTTGCGACTTATCGGTCCCAACACTTTATTACAATTTCGAACCATCTATGAACACTAATAATCAATTTAGGTGATACAAAACAAAAGAAATTACGAAAAACTTACGTTTTGCCAACACATTTTAACAATTCCACTGTTCACAACATAATTAATAGTCACAATTATTGCATTGATAATAGTATTGCCAGTTACCGCACCAACAATTTTTCAGAAGCAAGTAACACAATTTATCGATACACGGCGCCGATAGCATAAACTCCACCCGAAAACAGAGTTTTGTTCCTAATAGCTCCAGTGTTCCTACTAGACACAGTTTACGGTACTATAAATTAAAACATTTATGTCCAGGAAATATTTACTTAGCTCAAATAAATAAAAACAAATAAATTTAAATAGAACCAAACGAGCGTTAGCGAGTGAGGATATGTCGCTAGTTATGATAAGATTGAGTATTTTTTTAGAAGAATCGTTTACTGTATAAACGAAAAAATGAACAAATAAGCTGGTTTATGAATTATGAAATTAATTTATAGTATGGTGTGCATTCGAGATCTATTAAGCGAATGTGAATGATTGATTTAGTACCCCCATTCCGCTACCCTCGGGAAATCCAATGGATCGAATTTGCCTTGATACAGCAGAAGAGATGTTCTTTACTCTCACTTGGAAGGATAAGCATAAAATGCTCCAAAAAATGAACAAACGTAATTGAAATCGAGCTCTGAAATTCCAAACGTAATTACATAAAAACTTTATATTTTGCGAAACTTTAATTATACAGAACCACAAAAAAATCTAACTTTTTCCAAGCCAAACCGGAATGTTTTTCTTACGTATTTTGATGCGCTGGACACGAATCTGAAGTCCGATCTACTCCTTCAAGTCAGGATTTTTTCTAACTTAAAAAACGTATCTAATCAATCAAGTAACTCAAAATTTTTGTGGGCTTGTGTTTTTGGCGTTTTTCGGATCACTGATTACAAATCCGATGTCAGATTTTGAAAATTCAAAATGACGGATGCAATATGGCGGACTAATTTTTCTAAAAATTATTAGATTTTCATGCAAATCAGTATCCAGGTGTCTTTAGTGTTGCTGATTACAAATTTATTCTCGGATTTTGAAAATTCAAAATGGTTTAGTAAAATATACAACTTTTATACCCAGTGTGCACGTATTATAACTGTTCTAGACCAAAAAAAGAACAGTGTTCTAAAACAAGTGTTACAATTTTATTATAGAACAGTTCTAAAACTTTGTTCTAGATTTGTTCTGTAACAGTTGTTCTGTATCTGTTCTATAACAAACATGTAACATTTGTTCTAAATTAGTTATAAAATTTTGAAGTAACATTGTTCCTACGGTGTTCTAGAACACTGTTACAAAAATTTATATAACTGTTTTATATAACTGTTCAATTACTATTTTTTTTAATAAATTTGTTACAGTCAATTATTATTTTAGCACTGTATATATAACGGTCCCACAATTTATTTGTACTGTGCAAGTATTAGATTTCTACTTGGGTATTATTTTTGACAAATCGCTTTTGTTATAGAATTGTTATACATTTGTTCTAAAACAATGTTCTAGTTTTGTTCTAGAATTGTTACAGACTTTTGTTACTATTTTGTGCCCCCAGGGGAACGACATTTTGACCTACCTGTTCTAACCCCTAGATACTGATATGCATAAAAATATAATAATTTTTAAAATAATTAGTTTGATTTTTTTGTGTTTCTGTGTTATATATGTTACGGTTAATGTGCGAAGTTGGTGAATGTGCACATTGACCGGTAAATGTGCACATTACCCGAATTGGGCGTTAGTTGGATGGTGAATGTGAGAATAGCATACGAATTTTGTGTTTCTACGCACTTTAACCGGTGAATGTACACATTCACCAAATCGTTTTGTCCAAAGTGAAAAATTAGTATACCCGGAACAAATGGCAGGGTAGTGCAGGTATAGTCGGACAGTTCCGGTGGTCGGACACTTTCATGTTTTTTGTCAAATAAATAATAATGCATTGCAATAATTACTTTAAAGTAATATACTAGACGAATATATGAAGTATGTATTTTATGAAAATAGTGTTATTTTACAAAATAATTAAACAAGAAATATTTTATTCATTATTTTAAAAATAATGAATACTTTATTTCTTTTTTAAAATTTATATTATTTAATTACTTATATTAAGAATTAATTTATTTATAATAATTCCTTACATTATCATATTTTATAATAATAATTATAATTACTGAACAAATTACTTGCTTTCAATTTCTACATTTACCAACTAACGTTGGTCAATGTGTACAATCACCAATTTACTTGGGAAATGTACATAATTTCTTCTGAGAATGATAGATTATTCACATTTACCAAAAAGCCCGGTAAATGTGCACATTCGCTGGTAAATGTGCACATTAACCGGACTTTGCACTTTAACCGTAACATATATATACTAATATGTACATCTTTTTTACTCAATAAATACATCCTCGTATTCTACATTACACATAATTTTTTCTTTACATCTTCTACTAAATTAATTTTGCAATATTTTACATCTCATATTCAATCATTATTTTTGTTTTTTTTGTTTTGAGGTTTAGGCCAAAGAATACAAATTTTCCATTACAAAATTTTAAAGACAATTTTAAATTTGTCAACATATTTATTATTAATATAATTGTCTCGACGTTTCGATGGTAGCCACCATCCTTTTCAAGAGAAAACATTTTAAAAAATTACATTTAATTATAAAAATTATAAGTTATTAATTACAAAAATTATAAATTACAATAATTGAAATTTTTTTTCTTTCTATAACAGAAACGTGAGAATTCATACGTGGTAAAGCATGTTTAATTTGTTTTAGGAGTTGAGAAACAACTCCTCACCACCACCACTACATATTTAAATAAATAAAATCAGAATTATAAAAAGTTATGAATTTATAATCGTTTTTTTTATAAAGTCTCTCAGTGTGAAGTTAGCAGATAATTACCATAGATTATGAAATTATGAGAGATTTCTGGTTATGTTATAGTGAAGCCTAGTTCATAGATATTTCGGAGGTTATATTTAAACAAATTAAAGTTTTGCTGAATTTGAATTTAATTTATAATTAATTAATTTTAAGTTAAATTATTAAGAAAACCTTGATAAATTTTACTTATATTTTGAATATCGCTTTTAAAATTTATTGAATTTTTATTTTATATGATATAAATTAATTCTATTAAACGTATTTTATTTTCATTTTGTTCCGTTTCTAAAATTTTAACTTTATTAAAATCAAAATTGTGTTTTAAGTCCTTTGCATGTAAAGATAGGGCTGTATTGCCTGTGTCATTTTCTGCTCTCGTTGATCGGGCATGTTCGTACATTCTTCTTTTCAAATATCTACGAGTTTCTCCAATGTAAACACTATTACAATGGAAACATGAAACTTGATAGATAGTATTTATTTGATTTTCTTTTAATGTTTTATCTTTAACTGATATTAAAAATTGTTTTTGTAAAGTATTGTCCATGGAAAAGACAATTGAAATATTAAATTTTTTGAAAATATTATAAAAGATGTTTTCTAATTGTTCTATATATATATATATATATATATCCTTATTAATAAAATCAGACTTTTGTCTGTACATTGCATAGAATTCAAAATTTCTATTATATTCCTTATTTTTACACTCTAAGGAATGCGAAAATACTATTAAGAGAATTATGTGTGTATGTGTATATGTGTGTATGTGTGTATGTGTGTATGTGTGTATGTGTGTATGTGTGTATGTGTGTCCGCAAATTTTCGACCGCGTATCACGGAAAAACGGTTCGATCGTTTGAAGTGAAACTTGGCAGTCTTTTAGGCATTAGCCTAACTTAAAATCCTAGCGATAGTAGATTAAAAAATATTAATATGGACGAAAGTTATGCCATTTTTTCAAAAATTCGAAAATTCGAAATTTTTAGTTTTTTCATATACTTTAGTGAATTGTACTTAAACTTGGTACAGGGTTAATTTTAGTGTTTCTTATTAAGATTTAATCGTCAGAATAATAAAATTTTGAATAACAAATAAAAAGTGTTAGATTTAAATATTGAAAAATTAAAAAATTAAAAGTTTAAAAATTGAAATTTTTTTGTAATTAATTTTTATATGGTTGTATTTCTTAGGTCAACAATAAAAATTTGTTGTTGAAATCATAAGTTTACTTTTTAAAAAAAATTCTATTAGGTCAGAATATTAACAATATCCATATAATTAATATGAGACTTTTGTCAGTATATTGCACAGAATTCAAAATTGCTATTATATTATATTAATTAATGATCAAAAAATGAAAAACTCAAATTTCATTCTGATGACTAAATTGTAATAAAAAATACTAAAATTAACCCTGTATCAAATTTAAGTAAAATTGATGACAATAATTATTTCAAAAGATTAATTTTGAATTTTAAAAATTTTGATAATATATAGCACTAGCTGTCGTACCCGTCTTCGACGGGTTTTAGTTTCTACCAATACATTTAACAATGTTTCTACCAATCTGGAAAATCAAAAATACCCGGGAATTTAATTTCACCGGAAAATTAATAATTAGTAACCATTAGCTATTTCGGTAGTATAATTATACTATTTGAATAGTCTCCACCCTTTAGCAAAAAATCAAAAATTATCAAAAATTCGAGAAACCGAATTTCTTAAAATTTAACATTTTTTTCTTCTCTTTTATATCATTAAGCTTCATTATTTTTGTACTCTTCAAAAATACTTTACTTATATTTAATAGTCTCCACCCTTTGGTAAAAAATCTAAAATTATGGAAAATTAGCAAAAATTCAAAAAACGGAATTTCTTAAAATTCAACATTTTTTCTTCTCTTTTATGGCTTTTGGCTTCATTATTTTTGGGCTTTTCAAAAATACTTAACCTAATTTGTTATCTCCACCCTTTGGTAAAAAATCTAAAATTATGGAAAAATAGCAAAAATGCAAAAAAATGAATTTCTTAAAATTCAACATTTTTCCTTCTTTTTATGGCATTTAGCTTTATTATTTTTGTGCTCTTAAAAAATACTTTACTTATTCAATAGTCTCCACCCTTCGGTAAAAAATCTAAAATTATGGAAAATTAGCAAAAATTCAAAAAACCGAATTTCTTAAAATTTAACATTTTTTCTTCTTTTTTATGGCATTTAGCTTAATTATTTTGGTTTAATGTAGCAAATTTCTTACTTTACATACTGATCTTTAAATAAAAAACTTTAATAACTTTTCCTGAAAAGCTTGCTTAAAGATTAAAAATCACTATTTTCTTAGAAAAAAGTTGATCTAAAAAAACGAAAAAAAATTTCAAAATACGTCTTTTTTAAAAATTTTATTGTAGAAATGGGTTTTATTTATCTGAAAAAGTTAGCTAATGATAGTTTTGCATGTATTTTACAAAAGATAAAAAAATTTGCATTCTTTTGATTTTTCGAATTTTTTGGAAAAATGTTATGACATTTTACCTAATAGTAATATAATATCTTATTTAAAAGTTTTTATTTCGATCTAATAAAAATTTATTTCGTTTAAATAATTTTATTTAGTTAAATCAAATAAATCTTAATTGGATTAATTAAATAAATACTTGACTCTAATAAATGAATTTATTTAACACAAATAATTTCTAAATTTTATATTTTTTTATGGATTGCT